GACTAGCTCGCATGGTGTATGGTTGAAGAGTTTCATATCCGAGCTTAGAGTCGTTGACTCTATTTCTAGACCGATCAATTTGTACTGTGACAACTCTGTTGCGGTGTTTATGGTTAAAAGCAATAAGAGTGGGAGTCGAAGTAAACACATCGACATCAAGTATTTAACCTTAAGATAACGTGTCAAGAAAAATAAAGTGGTCATTGAACACGTTAATACAGAGTTGATGCTTGTGATCCCTTGACTAAAGGCATGCCACTAAAGAATTTGAGGGATCATGTAGCAAGTACAAGACTTGATTATACAATGTAGTTTATTTGCGCACATTGTTATTTGAGACTCTTATTCAGTTTGATGTTTTCTCGCTTTATTGTGCACATATTTGTTTATTATTGAGAAAACTCGCTTAAGTTTAACCCGGAATAAATATAAGATTTATTCATTAAGTTGTGAATTTAATTTGAGATGCTTGACATATCGTAATACATGGAAGGTAACATTCGTTTATAGAAGACCTACCGCCATGATTCGTATGTAAGGTTTCTCGTTATGTTGTGATAGTTTGAGTGGGCCAAGTGGGAGAATGTTAGTTTAATTAATTAATTAATCATATTTGAATTTTTTTAATATTTTTAAATTATCTTATATAATTAAACTAACCTAAAATTGTGGCCCACTTTTCTCCCATTAAGTCTATCACATTCAAAATATACGTGAGAAGTGGCAGAAAAATCGTGATGGACGGTTTCTCTTTTTTATTATAAATACTCTCACATACGGGTTACTAAATCTACTCTCAGAAAATCAGAATACACAATCGCTATTTGAGAGCCAGGGTTTGGCAACATCGTCCTAGGGTTCCACGATCTGGCACTTTCTTCGGAGGTTTCCAAAGTTTGACAACATCCTCCCAAGGATTCCAAAGTCTGACAACACCATCTTCCCGCGGTTTCAATCCACGGTTTGCTTGAAGAAGAGAATATCGAGAATAACTTTAATTTTTAGCAATGGCTGGAGGTTTGTTTAAATTTCGCTTCCGCTAACATATTTGATTATATGTTTATTTTCTAACATAGAAGGCAACCCGAGGGTTGGAAAAGCTGCAGGAGGCCTGAAACGAAATTGCTGCTATATGGATGTCACTCCAAAATGCTTACTTGGAGAAACCATTTGGTGGCCCAAGTCCACCTACCGATCTAGCTGTTGATCTTGTCAACCTTGCTGCCTCTATTTTGAGTGAGCTTTAGTCCACTCCTCTAGGAAATTCTACCATTGTTGATCAACCTGTGATAGCTCTGCCCAAGCCCGTTGACATTCATGATTCGGACATTGATAAAGCAGCTCCATCCGTTTCCACTTCAGCTCCACATTCCACCGAATTCTCTGATGCACCTGTGAAGACTCCCGAAGCAGCAGCTGAATCCACTCCTCAAGATCCATTATCCACAGTAAATTGATTTCCTTTCTAGACTATTTGAATAATTATCGGTTTGTCTAAACTTGATGTTTTATTCTATGTTTTCGTACTTGTATTTTTAATACTTCTTTAGTATGATGCATGATTCTTTAATTAATATTTTCCTACACAAATGGATAGAATTTCTTCAAGTATTTTCTATTTATGGAAACATCAAATTCCATTCCTTCAGGCTCTATAATTTTGTATGCACCATTAAATAACTTTTCCCAAATTATGTATTGCCCCTCCAAGTTTGGTGACCATTTCCCACGTCTAGCATCTCTTGTATACTGTGGAATAAGAACCTTCAGCACTAAATCTCTTTCTTGAAAGGATGTAGCTGGAACTCAGCCTGCTTTTTCCTGTTTCTTCAGGCATAGAAACCAACTCTTGAAATAAGTCAGTGTTATTTTCATCCATTGAGACCTGATTATGCTTCAGTATCCGTAAAGATGGCACTGTAATCTGCATGAGCAAAACTGCATCATGTCCATAAGTTAATCGAGAAGGGGTACTCCAAATCACCGATGACTTTACATTGCAGTAAGCCTATAGTATTTCTTCCAATGTCTTATACCATCATCACGGATTTTCTTCAAATTTATTCACCATAGAAATCAACTTCTTATTTCTTGCTTCCGTTTGCCCATTGTCTTAAGGATAATAAAACGTGAAATGCAGAATCTTAATCTTGTATTTGGTAGCAAAAGCTTTGACTCTTTTGCTAGCGAAGACTATTCTCAGGTCAATGGTAATGGTACGTAGAATCCCAAATTGATTAATCAAGTTATTTTTTATAAACTTTATCACATAGTTCTGGCAAATTTGGACTAGTGGCACAACTTCCACCCACTTGATAAAATAATCCATAGCTACTAGGATGAATGTATGGCCCTTTGATGACGATGGATAGATCTTTCTAACGATATTCATAGCCCAAGCTCGGAAAAGCTACGGTTTCACAATGGAATGTAGCTAGCTTTTCCATTGGAATCCTCCTATATTTTATATAGGAGTTAAGAATATTTTTTTTATACATTTTATTTTTTTACGGCGGTTACGGTGCTACTAACAACACATTGTATACTAAAAGATGACACACGTTGTTACTACATGTAATATATTATTTATATTAATATAATAGAAATGCAAGATATAAAGTAATATCATATGACATACATTTATACAATATATACTCTTATTTTAACATATGTTGTATGAAATAAAAATATATGTTCCCAGTACCCAATATATATGCTTTGTCGGGCCTAATTTGTAGGGTATTAGGTTCGACCAAAGGTTTACCCAGTGTACACTTTCGGGTAGCGGCTCCGAGTTCCCACACCATCAATATATATATATATATATTATCTAACAATTATTTATTTATTTATTATTAGTATGTTTTAAGTATGAGTAGATAGCACATAATTTGTATTATTTTATTTTATTTTTTTTTATAACGTGAGAACTTGCAACATAATTTGTACTTTTTATATGTATTGATTGGGAAAAAAAGCACGATAAGTGAAATATTATATTTCATTTTTATTTATAATTCTTTTAAGTAAAAAATAGTTATTTAATACAAAATATATATAAAATTAAATATTTAGTATAATATCTTAATAAAAGTTATAGAAATAATAAATAAATCAATGAATGAATAGCACCTGACTTTATAAAAGTATTTCGATTCCATGTATGATTAATATTATAAAAATATATATAATATGTAAATATATAAAATATATAAAATTTATATTTTGTTTATTTAAAAATGTTAATAATTCAACTTAAAATATTATTTTTTATAATAGTGATATTATCTTTACACATTAATTATACTATAAATTCTACGTAAATTCGCAAACTATTCAAAACTTTCTTTAAATTTCCTTTATTTTAATTTTTCCTTAAAACTCCATAATCATAAAGTTATATTACTTTGAACTATAAAATATCTTTTGTACCTTTCTATTGTTTACAAATTAACAAAAATATCAAATTTATTTAAAAAATCACAAAACTCGCATTTTGTATTCTTGTCCTCAACCTTAGCCAAATTTGTAAGGCTGCCTCACCTTTGATCAATCCTACACGTCGAACCGTCGCCGCCCGCCGTTTGTTTCCGTCCGTCCGTCAATCTCCGGCTGCCGCCGCCCACCGCCCGCCTGTCTGACACAATGGCTCTCCGTAAAAAAATAAGTGTGTTTTAAGTTTTATTTTATTCTCCCGCGTAATGCTCTTATTATGTAGTATTATTTGATATCTTTGTTGTGTTCTATATATCTATATTTTAGTTATTTTTTCTAAAATATTATATGAAATTATATTTAAATTAAAATTTAAATTTAAAAAAATTATTTTAAATCTAAACCAAACCCACCCAATATATTTTTATAGAAATTATATAATGCTGAATAGTAAAAATAAAATAAAATAATCAAACCAAACACGTGAAAGTAAAAAAGACTTTACATATACCTAAAAAACAATACATTTTCATTCAACTTCAAAATATCTATTTAGATTTTTATAATAGATTAAAAAATAATATTTTTTCTATCTCACTTATGGTGAAATATTTGGTTTCCGATACAATAATTTACATGGATAATATTAAATATAGTAAATTAGAAATTATGTAATATAATTCTTAGTGTATATTTATTTTTTTATTTGAGTGATATGATAAATATAAAATATAGTTAATTATTTCATACTATTTTAAAAATATTGCAGGATTTGTGGGATAGAACAAAATAGAAAATATCACAGGGTATATAGAACCGATTTTAATAATTAATAAAAGTGTGTAAGATTTTTGCTATTTGTACTTAATATGTGTAATTTATATAAATGATAAAAATATTTTAATATTACTGTATAATTAGTTTTACTATAATATTTAAATTGCACTTTGAGTTCAGTGGCGAAACTACTCACCGAACTTTGGAAGGCGGAATGTCTCTATTTCTACTTATCTCATACTGTGATTTTTCGACTTTTTTTTTAATATAATAGCACTTTGTAAAAAATAAATATAAAAAAATAATAAATCTTATAATTTACGGGGCAAATAATTATATAAACATTTTATATATTATCCTAAAAAACATAATAAAAATTGAGGCCGAGCTGCTGCCCCAAGCCCCATCAACATCAGCCACTGTTTGAATTGGAATGAAACAAATATTACTATCTTCGTTCGGTTTTAAGGATAAGGGTCTTATTTACTTTTTATGTATTGATCTTTAAATATTAATTATTATATCAAAACGTAGTGCAAAATTAAGAAAAAATTGCAAAGGTACTTTAATTAGTGTCTTCTAGTACTAATACAAACATATTTGTACAAAAAAAAATTATACAAATATAAAAATATTTTTAATGTTAATACAATGAAACAAAAGATAAATATAACCCTTACAGGCAGACGGACGAAGTATATTATAATTTGTTCACGTCGTATGCTTCTCACAAATTAATCCAACTCCTAAAATGGAATAGAGTTTCGTAATAGAAATAGATGAGACAGTTGGAACAACTAAAAACCGACTGGAGTTTTATTCATCCCACAAGAATACAAATACAACGCTAAGCAAAAATCCTCACACGAAACAAATGAGACCAAAACAATGGAAAGCTACAAACAAAAACGACACATCAAACCACAACACAATCCAAATATCATCGGTAAACCTTACAACAACTTAGAAAATTTACAACAATATTTAACCTTGGATCACAAGCCAATAGAAAATCGACATAGCTACAGAAAAGAGACTGCCGGCAGGAGTAATCATGCCGGAGCTCGGAGGTGGTGGGGAAGGCGTGCCAGGACCTTCCGCCGGTGAAGGCTCGGATCCGGGAACAGGACCAGCCGGTGCCGGAGGACCGGCATTCCCACCAGGTGATGGAGATGGAGATGGGGATGAAGACGGTGACGGCGATGGTGCTCCCGATGATGGTGACGGCGACGGCGATGGCGATGGTCCTTCTGATGAAGGTGACGGTCCCGGTGCCCCTGATGATGGAGTTGGGGTTGGCGGTGCCGGAGTTGGAGTGGTGGGTGGTGTCGGAGCCGGAGCCGGAGCTGGAGTCCCGGTGGAACCCGAGACATTGATGGCTAATTTTTGTCCCAATGAACAATGTTGAGGGAAAGTGCAGATATAATAATCGGGTCCGGTAGAGTTGAGAGTGAAGCTTGCCGGGCCGATGGTGATCAAATTGCTGGTGCTCGGGCCACAGTTGTCGTAGGATGCCTTCGACACACGGGCCACATCATGCGTCCCCGTTGTAAAATTGAACACTTGAAAAGTGATGAAAATTTTACAAGTGATTATCGTTTTCAAAAGACATTTCACATTGAATAATATGTGTTGTTTAAATATATTTTAGAAAGTTTTGGAAAAAATTCAGGGTGTGTTTGTTTGGAGGTTTGAATTTTGAGTTGGGATTTGAATAGTAAAAATTTTGAATTTAAATAGTTGTATGATGTGATATAAATAGGTGTTGATGTGATGTTTTGAATTTAAAATTGATTTTTAAGTATAATATAAAAAATAAAAAATAAGTGTTAGATTTGATGTTTTTTTAGGAGAAAAATTGGATGAATAGTGAAAAAAAAATCCAATCCCTCAAACAAACACACCTTGAATAGAAAATAAGTATTTAATTCTTTATGCCATATTGTAGAGTACGAAATTAATAAATAATAGTATTTTAATATAAAATTGAGTATTTAAAAAGTATAGTATAAGGGTGTGTTTGTTTGGGAGATTGGATTTAATTTCCACTATTCATCCCTTTTTTTCTTCTCCAAAAATATTAAATCAAACACCTATTTTTTATTTTTTATATTATACTAAAAATCAATTTTACATTCAAAACATCACATCAACACCTATTTATATCACATCATACAACTATTCAAATTCAAAATTTTTACTATTCATATCCCAATTCAAAATCCAAACCCCCAAACAAACACACCCTAAGAGTATTATGAAAAGTTATCAAAGTATTAATAAAAAATAATATGATAAATAGAAAAAAAACATTGATAATTTGGTTATTATTTATTACGGTAATAAAATTATGGGTGAGTAAAATTATTTACTGTACATAAATTGAGTGACCAACAAAAAAAACAATGTAATATAATTAGGGTGCGTTTGGCAATTAGCTGATAGTATTTAGCTGTTAGTTGATTTGACTAGCTGATTCAATTAGCGGTTTATATTCATGTATTTGGTAAAATAACGGTTTGACATTAGCTGTTTATAAATAAATAAAATGATTATTAAGGACATTAATATATTATTTTTAAAATATTTAATTTTGATTTGAAATTTATGAGAATTTTTGTTATTAATTATTGAAATTATAAAATATTTATTTTTATTTTTATTATTTAGATTTGAAAAATTTATTTTTATTTTAAAACAATAATAATTTTATTGAAATTGTGTAAAATATAAAATAATAAAATCTTTCGCATATATTTTTATTATATTAATTATTTTTTAATATATATAAATAAATTAATAACCTTAATTTTTTCTATTTGATTTAGTTTTAAATATTTATATATTTTACAAATAAAATGATTTATATGTAGTAATTAATAACAGTAATTATTTTAAATTTACAAAAATAAAAATTATATTAAAAATAATTAATAAATACTGATATAAAAATATATTTATATGTATAAAATAAATAATTAAGTTTTAAGGGTAAATAAAAAATAACTAATATTAAAATGAAAAAACTCTTCCAAAACACTGGGTAGATTAACTTTTCAGAAATTAGTTATTTGGATCCAAAAATCTCTTTCAAAAAACTAATACTAGCTAAAAGTTGTTTAATAAGATAAAAGCCTTTAAAAAAAGCTCTTTCCCAAACACCCTCTTAGTTATTCTCAACGGATGGAGTATTATATTTTTTGAAATAATGTACAAATAATTTGGAAATATATTACCATAGTATTACCAATCCATTAACAATATTTGAAGTTACAACTGATTTCTTGATCGATATAGTCAACACCAAACAACTACAACCATATCAATTATACACGCCCAAAAATAATTTCAGTTCATGTTCTAAGAAATAAAAGAAAATAATTCATTTGTCTCTAGAAACAATAAATTTATTTCTTATTTTTTGCGGTTTTCCACGACAAATAAAAAAAATTAATTATTGTAATAAAGATTGTTGCGAAAGTCCGCGACAATTAAAATATATATAATTTTTATTAAATTTTCAGTAAAAATTGTGACAATATATCATCGTGATAATCCCATAATTTTCTAATAGTGATCTGCACTATTTGTTTCACAATAAAACTGAATTTTATTAGTATTAAGAAACATTATTTGAAATAAATATATTTATTAAAAATAGTATTAGTACATATTTTTTATTTATTATATTATATTAAAAAAACATCCACGACTTTTTTCTTTTTTTCATAAATTCATTTAACTAAATTATTATATTATTTTAAAAATTTCATAAAACACCACAATACCTCATCTATAAATAAAACACAGCTATGACAATATTTAACTTGTAGATGATAAGGGTTTTTTGTTGTTTTAATTTTAAAAGATCATAATTATTTAATCTACATTGTTTCAATAAGAATAAATTTATAATATCATGTTAAAATAAAAAAATTTAATTCAAAATAAAATCAACAAATCTTTGGTTTCAATTTCTTTATTTGAACCGCGTTAGGTTGGTGAATTCGTTGCTACAGTGCGACGCCAATTTTAGTGTTGCACCGTAGAAATGATAAAAAGTAGCGTTGTTTTTTTATTTTTTAATTGTTTTTTTTTATGTTTTTAAAAATTAATGTGAATTATAAATATAAAAAATTGTCTAAAATAAAATATTTGAAAAATATTAATGAAAAATAGATTATGATTGGAATAAAAATATTGTAATAATTCTTTTTTTTTTAAGTTAAAATGATACGTCCTCCGTCCCAGAAGAGATGTCTTATTGAGAATTGACACAAAAATAAGGAATAATAATATTGAATTAAAAGTGGGTATAAAGTAGAACATAGATGACTAAAATACCCTTGCTTTTTTAAGAATTTGAAAGAGTAAATTAAAGTAATAATTAGGAATAGTATGGAAAAGTAAGAATAATTTTATTATAAAGTGGGGACCACGGCTACTAAATAAAGAAACAAAACAATTATTTTGAAATTATTTTATTCAAAAGTATCGTAATAGAATAAAATGGGTGTGTTTGTTTGGGGAATTGGATTGGATTTATACTATTCATCCAATTTTTTCCTCTCAAAAATATCAAATCAAACACCTATTTTTTTATTTTTTATATTATACTAAAATTCAATTTTACATTCGAAACATTACATCAACACCTATTTATATCACATTATACAACTATTTAAATTCAAAACTTTTACTATTCAAATCCCAACTCAAAATTCAAACCCCAACCAAACACACTAAATAACACCAAAGAAGACAAATAATAGCAATAATTATTTCAAATACCCAAATAAGATTTTTTTGATACATTTAAATAAATCCCCAGACGAAATTTCTTAATAAATAATTGATTAACACACGAGAAAACTATAAAAAGATTTTCTTGTGGTAAGAAAGACAATAGGTGGTTGAACTTGCCTTTTCCTCTTTCATTAATTTTGATTTTGAATAGTAAAATTTTGAATTGAAATAGTAATTTGATGTGATATAAATATATATATTGATATGATATTTTAAATGTAAAATTTAATTTTAGTGTAATATAATAAATAAAAAATATGTGTTTGATTTGATATTTTTGAAGAAAAAATAAATTGAAATAATAAAACGGAAAAATAAATCTCACAAGTAAACACACTCCAGGTGTTTGTTTGTTTAGTCACTATTTTAGTTTCATATCTTTTAATTTTTTCTTTTATGAAAAATATATAAATGAGTCAATAATATTAAAAATATTTCCCCTTTCACTATTTTAGTTTCATATTTTTTTAATTTTTTTTTTGAAAAATATATAAATGAGTTAATAATATTAAAAATATTCTTATATTTGTATAATTTTTTATATAAATATCTTTATATTAGTATTATAAGACACTAATTGAAATATTTTTGCAATTTTTTTCTTAATTTGTACTACGTTTTGATATAGTAATTAATATTCAAAAATCAACAAGCAAAAAATAAATGAAATTCTTAGAGCCGGAAGAATATAGTAACTAATACTTCCTCCATCCAGCTAAAAAGTATACATATTTCTATTTTGAGACGTCCAATTACAAAGTAAACATTTCATTAAATACCTCACTTTTTTTTCACAAATACTCTTACTTTTACATTACATTATTACTTTTACACCAAAAAGTAAAGGCAAAAATTTCATTTTACTACTTTTAACTATTATTTCTTAAATAAATAATAAATACCGCGCCAAAAATAAATGTTTACTTTGTATGTGTACGGAATGAATATTTGTAATGAAGTATTGACTTTTGTAAAATATATATATATAGATATAGATATTGATATTGATATTGATATTGATATTGATATCAGTATATTAAAAAAAGATTTACGTAAATGAACATACCCAAATATTTTAATTCAGATTTTTTTTTATTTATTTTATTTATTTTTTATGTTTTTAATTCAATTCTCTATTTATCCAAGAAATATGTAAAATAATCGCGATAAACAATGATTCTGAATTTAGTTTTTTTTAAAGAAAATCACTAATTGACTCCATGATTACATCTTAAATTATTATACTTCCTCCATTTTTTAACAATCTATCTATTTTTTCTATTTTGGTATGTCTCATAATAAAGTATTTATTTTAATTTTTTTATAGTAATTGTACTATCTACTTAACATTACAAATACCCTTCAAATTTACAATATATTATACAAATGTCATTACCTTTATATTATATAATACTAATAGAGTTAATTTAGTTTTTTTACCTTTATTTCTACTTTATCTCAATATAATACTAATATTTTTAAAACTCAATAAAAAAAAATGAATATATAAATATGGGATGGAAAGAAGTACTCCCTCCGTCTCAAAAGATTTGTCTTATTTTTTTCATTTTCGTCCGTCTCAAAAGATTTGTCTTGTTTCCATACTACCCCTAATTATTACTATAATATACTCTTTAAAATCCTTAAGGCATTTTATTTATTTACATTCTACTTTATACTCATTTTTAATTAAATATTATTATTCTTTAATTCTCGTATAAACTCTCAATAACAAACTTCTTTAGGACGGAGAGAGTATAATTTTTTCTTAAAAAATGTACTCATGCCATCCAAGAAAGAGAAACAATACTCTTACGAGTCTATCAAACAACCCATCAAATCTTTATCAAATTTCAAAATTGATTTCTATATAGAAATCCATCAAATCTTTATCAAATTTCAAAATTGATGATCAATTTTTAGAAATCCATCAAATCTTTACCAAATCTCAAATCAAAAGCGCAACGGAGACAGAAATAAGTCAAATAAAAAATAGAAATTAAAAAAAAAATGCACAAAGGTTGAAGAAGAATACCTAAAACATCTCCGACTGCAAAGGGTTTGCCGGCCGCCCAATTGGCATAGGCTGCGGCGGGGTTAGGCGGAATCCCCCAACCGATTGAGCCGCCGACAACGTATGTGGCGGCGGCGGCCTGGTGGAGGAGGAGCGTCGCCGTCGTCAGGAAGACGGCCAGCGCAACGAAGCGATTGGGAATATTAGTCATATATAAAATAGAATAGATGAATGTTCTCAGGTCGCCCCTCGCTCTCTGTGTTGCGTTATCTTCTGAGAAGGGAATCCGCAGAATGGAACAAGGAGTAAAGTGGTAGTAGTAAGTAGTAATAAATGGTGGGGGGTGGGTGGGGATGGGATGGGATGGGATGGGATGGAGGGCTTATTCATAATTCAATCCAATTCCATTCCCTATTGCATCATCAGTCATCCAAATTTGACGAATTGAACTTTGCATCTTTTTTATGCATTTTAATCTACCCTACCCTAAAGCTACACGTAGTGTTAGTGGTAGTGGTAGTGATAGGGATAGATCCTTAAGATATTGGGATTCGTAATCTCGACCGAGATGATCTTTGACTTCTACACACATTTTTGCCCTTTTGGTTTTGGCAATTTTTTTTTTTTTTCAAAGTCTTTCTTAGAAATATGGAATGATTTTAATTGTTTAAAAATCTTAAAATAATAATAAAAAATTAATATTTTATAATATACTGTAAAGAAAATATTTAATTTAATTTAATTTTAAAGAAATTATTATTATTAAGTGTTGAAAATTTTAAAAATATCTCTATAAATATTACATGTTATTACTAATGGCAAGATCTACTAACCAATCATAAAAAATAAAGCTTCGATTTATTACGGAAGCAAGCAGTTCGGACTCAGGTTACCTTATTATCAGATAAACCGACACTGCACACACATCCAAGATCCAACCACAAATGACACGCCACGGAACGTAACAAACACGCAAATTCAAACCCCAATTTAAGGAAACATTGCCGAAATCAAGCCTAAACAACATCGCATACAAGATTACATTACGAACCAACAATAAGGCACAAATCGACAAACCCAACCGTATAAACTCCAAGAGGCAAGGCGCGCATCGAAGGAGAAAGAGAACTTCCCAAATCGCCGGACAGATTCACCGGGGAATGCTAGAAAAGATAGATCGGAACCACACTGGAATCGCGTCGGTAGAACTAGGGCTCTGGTAGAATCGCGAAAGAGTGAACTGAGTGAACCGAATGAATGAATGAATGAACCGGTTCAATGCAAGGTCCAACAATATATACATCAGACCAGACCGGTTCAGATGAACAGTCCAGCAAGGCAGCCTGCGAACCGACGAGTCTCGCAAAGATTTGGGTTGGGTAGCGGGTTGTCGGGTTCGGGCTTCAATTTGGGCGGGTCAATTGTGTGTGTTTTAGGCCTCAATAATCACCGACCAAAATATATAACAAATCTCCACCTTATTTTGGGCGTGGAAGATTATTTTTCTCGGGTGTTTTTCGAAGCTGTTTTAGCAAAGTGAATGTGTTAGCCAATATGACAATTCTTGAGAAATATTTAGGGGATGTATTTGCTATTAAGTCTAATTGTTTACCTTTGTTAGAAAATGAATGGTTGATTGATTCGGCTTGCTTCTATCGTATAACTCCATTATGATCAATTTTCTCTGAATACAAAATGTTAGAAAATTGTAATGTTGTTAGTATAGGAGATGCTGAAAATATTAAAAATAATGTTGAAATGCGTATAGAATCTGATATGAGAGAGGAAAAGATTTCTAAAATTATTTTGATAATAGTAATCAAAATGAGTTAGAAATTATCAATTGACTAGAGTTAGGGATAGAAGAGTCACTAGGTTGCATTCTAGGTTTGGTGATTTTGATACGTCCTCGTTGGCTTTTAGTATATTTGAGAATTTAGATGGTAATGAACCTAAGACATTTAGGAAGACTATGAATTCTGAAAATAAAAATCAATGCTTAAAAGCAATGAAAAAGAAAATAGATTCATTATATAATAATAAAACTTGATGTTTGATCCTTAAATCTCATAATTGTTATCTTGTTGATTGTAAATGGATTTATAAAGTTAAATAAGAAGATAATAGAATTAAGTTTAAGGCTAGATTAGTAGCTATGAGTTTTACCCAAAAAGGAAGGAATATATTATAATGAAATTTTTACTTTTGTTGTTAAATTTACTACTGTTAGAGTCATGTTAGCTCTAGTTGTATTTTATGATTATGAGCTAAAACAATTATATGTCAAAATAACTTTTCTACATGGTGAATTAAGTGAGAAAATTCATATGAAATAACTTGAAGGTTTTGTTGATAAAAACACAATGAATCATGTTTGTTTGTTAAATAAATCATTGCATTGTTTAAAACAGTCACTTAGACAATGAAATATCAAATTTGATAATTGTATGAAAAATCTTGATTTTACTAAAAGCAAATTTGATTATTGTTTGTATTTTAAGACTGTTAAAAACCAACATATCTTTCTTCTCATTTATGTTGATGATATATTGATAATTAGTCCATGTTTAAAGATAATCAATTAACTAAATGTTTGTGTGATAATTTTGACATAAAATTGTTTGGGTGATGCCAAAGTAATTTTAGGCATGAGTATCACTAGGGATAAAAAAATTCAAAACTCTTTTTGAACCAATCTGCTTATATATCGTAAATTCTTAAAAAATTTTCATAAGTGATGCTATATCTGTTTCTGTTTCTATGGCTTCTAATCTTGTGTCAAGTAGGGATCAATGTCCTAAGTCGGAATCTGGTTTTGAATATATGTAACATGTGTCATATTCTAATGCAATAGGTTCCATAATGTACTTACTAATTAGCACTAGACCATATTTAGCTTATGTTATTAGTTGTTTAAGTAGGTATATATCGAACCCTGTAAAATGGGTCTTTAGGTACTTAGATGACACAATAAATTTTGGTCTTGTATTTGGTAAATATATTGAAAATATTAAGGGTCTGTTCATTTAAAGGATTTTAACAAAATCCTACTATTCATCCAATTTTTTTCCCCCAAAAACATCAAATCAAACACATAATTTTTATTTTTTTATATTATACTAAAAATCAATTTTACATTCAAAATATCACATCAACACCTATTTATATCACATCATACAACTATTCAAATTCAAAATTTTTATTATTCAAATCCCAACTCAAAATCCAAACCCCCAAACAAACACACCCTAAATTGGAAGGTTTGTGGATTCGAATTATGCTAATGATAGAGATAGTAGGAAAAGTGTCAACTCAACACTAGTATGATATTGTCCGCTTTGGGTTGAGCCCGTACGGATTTGTTTTTGGATTTTCTCCAAAAGGCCTCGTACTAGTGGAATTGATTTAGGACTTATAAGGTGTGAAATTTTTTTTACAACTTTCAATGTGGGACTTGGGTGTGCACTCCAACAATATCTTTATATTCAAATAGCGTTTTTCATTTCTCATAAAAATAAATATTATGTGTTTACTTGTGAAGTTTTAGTTTTGAGTTTTGATTTTGAATAGTAGAATTTTGAATTGAAATAATTGTTTGATGTGATATAAATATCTATTGATGTGATGTTTTGAATGTAAAACTAGATTTTAGTACAATAAAATAAAATAAATTTGGATATTTGATTTGGGGGGTGTTTGACAAATAATTTTTAAGAGCTTTTAGCTTATGTAACATTTTTTTAGCTGTTTGACCGGTTAAAAAACTAATTTAGGTGTTTGGTAAATTAACTTTTTGAAATAGCTTATTAGCCTTAAAAAAATAATTTTTGAAAAGTTGTATAACTAAAACGTTTTTTCAATTTAATTTTTTTTATTCCTTATTTGCCCTGAAAATATTATTATTTATTTTACCTACATATAATTTTTTTCTACGGCATTAATTATAAATTATTTTAATATATTATTTATTAAATTATAAATTTATTTTTATAAAATTAAATTAATATTTTTTTATATATAATTAATTTTGTTTGTAAACTATATATATTAAAATAAAATAAAAATAAAAACATAAATATTATTAATTTATTTTTATATTAAAAGTAAATAAAATAGAATAAATTTATTATAAATTATAAATATAATAAATTAATCAATAATTAATATAATAAATATATTTACAAACATTTTATTATTTTATATTTTACATCATTCTTAATAAAATAATATTCATATTTCTTAATAAAAACATATATTATTTTTTTCACATACAAAATTAATAAAAAAAATATTTTATAACACATTCGTAATTTCAAATAATTAATAACAAAAATTTTAAAATTTTTAGAACTAAAAAAAAATTAAAAAATTTTAAAAGTTAAAATATAAATGTCCTCCATTGTCATTTTACGTATAAACAACTAATATCAAACAATTATTTTAATAAACACTTTAATACAAACAATTAATTGAATCAGCTAGTCAAACCAGCTAAACACTAACAACTAATTGAATCTGCTAAAAACTAAAAACTATCAACTGATTGCTAAATACACTATTTATTTATTTAATAATTTAATTTATAAATTATAACAAATATTTATTAATATGATTATTATTATTTTACTATTATTATTATTATTATTATTATTATTATTATTATTATTATTATGTTTTATTTAATTTTTTTCTAAAATTCAATTACATATTTAGTAATTATATATATTTTTTTAATTATTTTTGTAATTTATTAGATATATTATAAGATCATACAAAATTAAATTATTAATAAATATATATATTTAATTAAAATTTATTAAATTAAAATATGTTAACATTTATTAATCATAATAATTAATAAATTTAATTAAAAAAATATATTCAATATTGATATAAAAATATAAAAATATTAATATATATAATTTAAATAAAATACATAAAAAATAATAAATACTCTCTCCGTTCCATATACCGTGTCCACGTTGTCGTTTCTGTCCGTCCCACGTACCATATCATGATTACACACTTTAATCTCATTTTAAACTTTTTAATTTTATTTTTTTAAATTTTAATTAAACTAATTAGTTATCTTAATCTTAATTTATAATTATTTATATTATCGGATAATTATTTTCACTAATATATTCTTAATTATCTACTAATTATACCCCTCCTAAAATACCGTGTCTACAGTGTAGCAGACACGGTATGTGAGACGGAGGGAGTAATATACTAATTTTTTTTGGCCACATGTCCCAATTAAATTGACACACATTACAAAATAAATCACAAGAATTTTGTGTCAGAAGTGCTGGGCGGACCT